TCGAATGTGTGTATTACGTCATGTTTCAAGCTCCATGTAAAAACTGTTAGTTTAGAATGTCACTGCAATATACCGGTTTTTTAGTAGCTTTAACGGTGTTAACTGTTAGATCAAGAATATTTTTGGCTGAGCATTTGCTTTTTAACGCTGGCAGGTATTTGAATGTGGTTGTTTAACAATTTAAAAAAATATATACCAAAAAAGAAGGCATATTATGGCAATATATGTTGCATTAACTCCATAGACGGTGATTACAAAAAAATACAGTCATTAAAAACACATTCTACGTTCCTACGTAAACGTTTCTATTTTTAATTTTTTTTTAAAATACATTTCTAAATCTACACTATTCTGATGTCAAGGAACAAGGAAAACCAGTGCGATATTGCCAAACTGGCCAGCTATCCAATCTCTGAAATCATCGATTTAAAATGTTGGCAGTTCACAAAATCTGGTGTCATTTGGGCATCCGACTTCTACTTGTCTCAGATGCCTGGTCATGCAACTTATACTTTTTTTTTCAGATGCCCGGACATGCAACTTCTCCTTTTCTCAGATGCCTTACGAAAAGACAGCACAAATCAATCATAAATCAGCAAAATTTACCCAGAACAGAAAATGTTTGTGACAACTTTTAGGTAAACATATTTTTTCCTACATTAAAAATTTTTTTGTTCAAATAGTAAGTAAATGAAAACCGCGGTCACCATCATCATCATTTCCACCACAACCATCACTATTATTGTCATCTGTCTGATGGGCTGTTTGTAAGTCAAGTTGATAGGTAAGTTCCGTATCCTTTACAGGACGTTGCAGAACCAACTCTATCAGCCTAGCGGATTGTGTGATTTTTCTAGGCAAATTTACGTCCAGTAGTTATCCATGGCTTACTGGACGGTCGGCTTTCTTGATACCACTGTGAAGGCCAAAGCAAAACGCATGTCCCGCAGCTGAGATCGAAACCCGGCATCCCGGGATTACGAAGCGTTCGCATCGACTAAGCGACAGAGCCGAGTAAGACTCACAGCCTATTTTCCCACTGCGCTGTGCAGTCATTTCAATTTCCTGAATATAACCTGGTCCAACATCGTTGGTCTCTCTCGTCAATGTTCGTCTAGGTTTTCTCTTGGATGTATTCGTTTCCTCAGTGCATCTGTTTCCCATTTCAGTGCATGCTTGGCGATTCTCTGTCCTCTTTGCCTAAGAGTATACTCAATATACTACCATCTTTCTTATCGTTTAGTTGTGGTTACAAGCGTATAACCAGTCGTTACTCTGATTTCTTCGTAATTCTTACATTTGTCCGATCCAGTTTTCATAAATTTTATGAGGAATGTGTTATCGCGTACATTTTACCCTTCGTTCCATGTCTGTTGTGATACTGAGAGATGCAAAATGAGTACCTCTAGCACTCCGTTCTTGGGAAATTGCTGGTAGTATGAATACCTAGGAGCCCTTTCGCCCCTCCCCCAGCCCCCAAGCAGTACGAAACACCATGCAATTTTTTTTTCTTTATTTCTTTCTTGAATAGTCACTTTGTGGTGAGTCATCATTATCATCATGTAGCAGGTCCTTTGCAGAACGTCGTACTCATCACGGTCTACATGAAAGAAACTCGGTCTCTCGTCAGCTCTCCCGCCTGATGTGTTTTCATACTCAAGGAGTCACTTATATCATGTGCCCATCTTCGTGTTGGTCGGTCCCCGCCCCTCCCCCTTCCAATCCGTCGTGGCGCTTGATATGACCAAAATATTTCAGCTTCCGAGACAAAATGCTTTTTATTAGCCAATATTCCTTGATTTTCAGATCTTTCAAGATGTCAGTATTTCTCCCCTTCTTTGTGCAAGATATTCTTATAACCTTCCTACAACATTTCAGCTCAAAAGCCCATATTCTCTTTCTTAAGGACTGGGAGAAAGTCCACGATTCACATCCGTATGTTGCTACAGGGAAGATGAATGCTCTTAAAATTCTTATTTTGATCTCTTTTGCTGGTGCTTAACCAAAGACTTTTAGGGATGTTTAATATTTGCATTGCTATGACCATCCTTTGTGGTAAGTACAGGCAATTTTTGATTGGATACTTTTATTTTCAAACCGACAGATGTGCTTGATATGCGTAAGGTATGGGGACAACTTCTGGTCAGCCGCCTTTACTTCACAGGAAATTTGATGGCATCCCAATTATGCTGGATCGCCATAGGATGCCATGGTCAATTATAAAATGTCGCCCTACTCGGGTTCGAACCAAAGACCGCCGGGCATGGAGGCAAGTGTCTAACCAGCAGGCTACATTGGCTTCCAAACAAGTTGGTGTCTAGTTTAAACCCTAGTCTGGGTGAATGTACAGGTTTAATAGCTGTTATTTGGGAACCGGTTGGTCTCGAGGCATAGTGTCCGCCCCGAGTGCTAGAGGTCCCGGGTTCAGTCCCCGTAAAGGCTGCGATTTTTTTACGTGGACTTGGACTTCTAGTATTTCCCCTGGTCTCTGGGTAGTGAGATCGGACGCCCTTGGCAGTTGGAAATCAAAAAGAGTTGCCTAACGGCGCTGCCAGGGCAAAATCTGAGTTCAAAATCTACCTAAAGTATTTCAGGATCCTCACCGGTGCTACAGAGCCTGTGCACTGGGCTGAGCTACTTCGGACTCAGACATGAGTTAGAAGAAAGAACAGAGCACCTATGGGTTACTACGCGCGTGCTATGATGTTGATCGGCTGTTTAAACTTCAAAACTTCAAACTTCAGATGTGATCAATATTGCATTTAAAAAAAAAAATTATATTTTTTTTTTATTTCGCTCGCTTGAAATAAATTAGCTGACAACGAAGGAAGGTAATCTCCTGCAACATCATCCATCTCGTAACTTTTCTCGAGACTGTGAAACTCATAAAGCAATCTGTTACGATAAAGTAGGGAGAAGATAAAACAAAGTGCAAACTATACACCTGCTACAGGAATCCGCGTGGTGTCATGGCTAGACACCCGCCTGCAGATCTGAGTGTCGTGGGTTCGAAGACGGACCGACTTTTTAAATTTTTTTTTTTAGAGGTTAGACTTTGGCAATTGGCAGAGAGACACTGGCGAACATTTATTGGGCAATTTTTTTCGTTTCGGAGTGTAAAGCGCCAGTCCACTAGAGACTAGTTTGAGAACGGAGGTAGAGGCAGTCTCTTACAATTAGAGAGAAGGGGATCGCTTTGAGAACGATGATACCAGAAAGAAAGTTGGCAAAGAACCAGTACTGAATTTTATTGGTAAACAACAGATCAAATGGTTTGGACCGGTAACAAGACTGGCAACAGACAGGGCACCCACCACAGAGAGCAGTTTTGTACAGATACAGCGGTAACCGAGCCAGAGGTGGTCGCCCAAAAGATCGACCACCGAGATATCTGAGGCACAGAAAAGTACTATATACACAACAAAAAGAAGGGCCAGACATTTCTTCCTGCTCTGACTGCGAGGCATTTATGGAGTAGAGAAAAGAAGAGGAAGAAGAGAGAAAGGGTAATTAGCTGTATATCTTTTACAGATCACCGCCAACAAATACCCATTTGTGTTGGATGCTTTCCATTGAAATTTACATTGAGAGGTATGCAAGTGCTCTCCGAAGAGACGATACAAATTTTGGTCCCAGTTTTCAGCCTCTGTGGCAGTAATCACATGACACTTTGTAACATGATATCAAACAATTTAACTCTTTCACTCCCAGACATTTTAGCATCAGAGAAACTGATGGCGATTTAACTTTTATTTTGGTTTATATTGTTTTTTTCTTTTCGATTTATCTTTTATTTTGGTTTATATTGTTTTTTTTTCTTTTAAGTTTTAATAATTTGTTTGGTTCCTTAGCTATCCTCAAAGCTCAGTATGACAGGTTTTACTGTTTTAGTCGCAGCACGTTTTTTCTATGAATGTAGTTATCTGTTCACCTGTCCTCTATGTTTAGACTAAAAGGGTATAGTTCTATCGCTCAGATACTGAAATGCATGCATGGCGCGGCACTGTGAGCTGCGAATTTCTTGGTGACTGTGCTCAACGTGGTTGGTATTGAAAACTGCATTCAGAAAATGGGGAATGGTGCCCTATAAAATTAACTGCGTTTGTAACTACTTATATGTTATTATTGGTATCCATCCCTCCCCCCTCCCCCTACAGCTTACCACCTGACAATCTGTAGACGTTCTCCTCTGAAGCGTTTCTATATAAATTTGAAGATTCCACAATAATTCAAATATTTTACTGTATTCTGTTTTCCATGCACGGTAAAATAATCGGAGATCGAGACTCGAGTGGCGTGACTTCAACTCGAGCCCCAATTAAGTCGCCGCATTAATGACCTGCGACTCGACTTACCTGTTTTGTCCAACGATTCCCCGTCTCGACTTTTTTTTTTGCAATGACTTCTCGACTCGACTTGCGTTTGACTGTGCACACGGCTTAATTAATGAAGCTCGATTTATGTTAGCTGAGCTACCGTATAACAGTAGCTGGTACCACCTGTCTTCTGTTAACGCCGAATGTTTGGCGGCGTATACCAAAGCTAACATCGCATTTTGTCCCAACGGTCTCAGACCGAGGAGCGCATTTGGGTAGAATACTAGCCTTATCCTAGCAAGAGGAAATGTAGCCTGGAAAGTGTATGTTATGACAGGACAGACCAGGCCCTTAGCCTTGGCTGGTGGCTGGTCTAGGAGGGAAGCTCCGACAGGCGGACAGATAGAGCACTGCTCTTCTGTTCTGGCAGGTTATGCAACCTGCTTTGCTCTAAATGTACCCGTATTACATTTCCTTTGGAATAAATAAAGCAGATCGATGGAGGGATCATGGTGATTTGGTAAAATAAGGTCTCCACAACACTGCCCAGGCTTTGTGGTAAGGAAAGGACTAACTGAATTATTGACAGCAACTGAACTTGTATACCACCTGGAGAATTAAAGATGGTAGAATCCCTAAGGACATCTTTTGAACAAGAAACATCTAGTCTTGCCTGTTTTTAACGATCCAGTAATCCTTGCCATCTTTGCTGCCATACCCAACCACCAACACACCATGGTCGAGTTCTTTAGAACTGCAGTTAGGTTCGTCGTAAATACCGCCTTTGTACGACATGAATGAATCATGGTTAGCGTCGATGCCGACACTGACAGGGCCTTTCTGTTATGTCATGGAGTTAAAAAAAAAGTATTCATTTATTTGCACGCTTTTCTTTCAAGAAACATTTCTTGCCTTTCTTTCTTTCTTTCAGTAATCTTTGCCATCTTTTTCTTTCTTTACTTTCTTTTTTCTTTCCATTCTTTCTTTCTTTCTTTCTTTCTTTAAAATTCTTTTGTTTCTTTTTGAATTTCTTTCTTTAGCGTCTTTCTTCTTTCTTTCTTTCTTTATTCTTTCTTAAAAAAAAAGTTTCTTTCTTTTCTTTCTTTTTCTTTCTATCTTTCTTTCTTTCTTTCTTTCTTTCTTTCTTTCTTTCTTTCTTTCTTTCTTTCTTTCTTTCTTTCTTCTTTCTTCTTTCTTTCTTTCTTTCTTTCTTTTCTTTCTTTCTTTCTTCTTTCTTTTTCTTTCTTTCTTTCTTCTTTCTTTCTTTCTTTCTTTCTTTCTTTTCTTTATTTCTTTCTTTCTTTCTTTTTTCTTCTTTCTTTCTTTTCTTTCTTTCTTTCTTTCTTTCTTTCTTTCTTTCTTTCTTTCTTTCTTTCTTCTTTCTTTCTTTCTTTCTTTCTTTCTTTTCTTTCTTTCTTTTTTCTTTCTTTCTTTCTTTCTTTCTTTCTTTCTTTCTTTCTTTCTTTCTTTCTTTCTTTTCTTTCTTTCTTTCTTTCTTTCTTTCTTTCTTTCTTTCTTTTTTCTTTTTTCTTTTTTTCTTTCTTTCTTTCTTTCTTTCTTTTCTTTCTTTCTTTCTTTCTTTCTTTCTTTCTTTTCTTTCTTTCTTTTTCTTTCTTCTTTCTTTCTTTTTCTTTCTTTCTTTCTTTTCTTTCTTTCTTTCTTTCTTTCTTTCTTCTCTTTCTTTTTCTTTCTTTCTTTCTTTTTTTTCTTTCTTTCTTTCTTCTTTCTTTCTTTCTTTCTTTCTTTCTTTCTTTCTTTCTTTCTTTCTTTCTTTCTTTTTCTTTCTTTCTTTCTTTCTTTCTTTCTTTCTTTCTTTTCTTTCTTTCTTTCTTTCTTTCTTTCTTTCTTTCTTTCTTTCTTTCTTCTTTCTTTCTTCTCTTTCTTTCTTTCTTTCTTTCTTTCTTTCTTTCTTTCTTTCTTTCTTTCTTTCTTTCTTTCTTTCTTTCTTATCTATCTATCTATCTATCTATCTATCTATCTATCTATCTATCTATCTATCTATCTATCTATCTATCTATCTATCTATCTATCTATCTATCTATCTATCTATCTATCTATCTATCTATCTATCTATCTATCTATCTATCTATCTATCTATCTATCTATCTATCTATCTATCTATCTATCTATCTATCTATCTATCTATCTATCTATCTATCTATCTATGTATCTATGTATCTATGTATCTGTCTGTCTGTCTGTCTGTCTGTCTGTCTGTCTGTCTGTCTGTCTGTCTGTCGACCTGTCTGTCAGTACTTATCCACATAGTAGCCTATATTCCTACTTAACTTGCTATCTACCCATCTTCCATCGGTCTGTCTGTCCCTATTTCCCCTTTCATGTCCTTGTGTTGGTTGTAACGAATACTTACCTCGGCTACAGCCTTTTGGAGCTCGTCTTCACTGCCAGAGGTAATGTCTGTGAATGATGTGATGGTGGCTCCAACGCTATCGGGTTTGAATGCGCACGGTTCATCCTATACAAGAGTCAACCATTACACTACCAGAAAAAGGCACGTTACTTTTAGACGATATGTATACGGTAACAGCGTTTGTGGCTTAGACGTTGCGAGCGAGCTTCGTAAGACCGGGGTGCCGGGCTCGATCACAACTAGGACGTTTTTTCTTGTGTTTGTTTTGACAATGGTACCGAGATTTGACCGTTAAGAGGCAATGGCAAACTCTTAAAGACAAAATCTGCATAGAAAAGCCACAACAGCCAAAAAATGCTGGGGTTGGTTCTGCAACGTCCTGTAAAGGATACGCAACAAACTTAATTTTTTTTTAAATATTCGGTAACAGAGACTAGACACTCATTTGCTGGCCAGAAGATCCATGGTTTCGAATCCGCATCGAGTGGGAAAAAAATGGCATTATTTACCAGGTCGTCTTAGCCTTTAAATAGGTAAAGTGCTGGGAGGTAAAGGCGGCTGGCGTGATGTTGACCAGCTAACCCATCAACTGGTCTATTAAAAAACTACAAAACTAGCATCATATGCCATTGTTGGCAGTGGAGTGGGAATAAGTCTTTACATTACTGTTTAACAGAGTTCAGATTTCAACCGGTATTGAGGGCTAATTGGTTGGGGTGGGGGTAGGGAGGAGGGGGAGAGTTTACAGTATTTATGTGACTAAGCTGTTTGCCTAGCATGCAGAATGTTGTGTAAGGGAGACTTGGTCTGCTTGGTTCGGTTCACGGGCGTAGTTTTCTGTTTGATCCCCATATGGTCGTTCCTGGATTTGAAGACTTGGTGCTTTGTGTAAAACTTTCAGTGGGTGGCTAGTCTGACTGCGGATACAGACTTAGCCATATGAGATAACCGATGGAAGAAGCATGTGAATGCTGAGCAATCGTTTCAATACCATGGATGGTGGCTGCTCTAGAATCTTTCGTTATTCGTCCTTTTTTGACTTTAGTCTAGTTTCAGGACTTGGCTGCAGCATGCACATCCGTTCTAGTCAAAGTCCAAGTCCTTTTGAGAAAAAAATGAAAAGGTCGACCACTTTCAGACTGCTGCTAGCTAGCCGAGGCTGCTAACAGTCTGCGCCTATATTTATGGTCCGGGTTATTTGTGTCACTGTCGTGACTAAATTCTAGTATTGCGCCATTTCTGGGCTTGATGCTTCCATCCGGTTCCGACCGCTCGTCCTGTACCGTTGTTAGCTGTTCGTTTCTTTCCTCTTCTTATCTGGTGTCTCCTCTTGGTGTCATCTCTCTCTGATTTGGCCAGGCGTATCTCGTAGGTGAACATCAGTTCTGCAGATCTGGCTTAATTATGTGCAAAAGGATGTTTCCTTGCTTCTCGGGCAGATGTTTCAGAGGTAAACATTGATTCAGTCCACGTTGGTCAGGCTTCCATTTGAGAACTTTCTTTTAGGATGAACGCAGAGGTCTTGAGCTGCAGGAGTCCTGGTCCGTGTACACCACTACAGCACCTCTGTATCCCTCTCCCAAGCACAGTGACCATACTACTTTTCCTACTTGCTATAAAATAATTGCCCTTCAAGACCTATAAAATGCCCACAGTTTTCTAACAGCAAAAAGGAAAAAAACTCCTGTCAGTAGTAGTTTTAATGTTGTTGTTTTTTTTTACTCAATTTTTTTTTTCAAGAACACAATGTTGTCCATCCAGGATTGCAGTCAAGCAAGTAGTAAGACAAAGATCTGTTCTGTCACCTGATCTATCTCTCTGTTTCTCTATAGCGAGATGACATTGAAAGGGATCACAGATACACAAGAAGTTAGAGTAGGAGGTTATAATAAAAACAATATACGTTATACAGACAACATAGTACTGATTGCTAAAAATGCAAATGATTTACAACACATATTGGACATTGTAGTAAAGAAGAGTGTGAAAAAAGCGGTCCATCCTTGAGTAAAAAGAAAACAGTGATAATGGTTATATCAAAGAAAAGAATACCGCGACAGTGTGATATTAAAATAGAAGTTAATAGTTTTTAAAAAAGTCGATAAATTCAAATATCTGGGTACAGTCACAACAGACGGATCACATGTGGCAGAAATTAGGAGCAGAATAGGCCAGGCTAGGTCTGCATTTCACAGAATGAAGAACATTTTGTGTAGTAGGTCCCTTTCTTTGGATGTCTGAAAGAGAGTACTCAAATGTTAAGTAGAACATATGATGCTGTATGGTAGTGAATCGTGGAATGTGAATGTGCAGATTAGAGAAAAAAAAATTGCAGGCGACGGAGATAAAGTTTCTCAGAGTAAGGTTAAGAAACCCTTTGAGGCGAGAGAGATGTAGTTTCTCAGAGGAATGTTAAGAAACCATTGGAGGCGACATAGATGTAGTTTCTCAGAGGAATGTTAAGAAACCCTTGGAGGCGACAGGAATGTAGTTTTTCAGAGGAATGTTAAGAAACCCTTTGAGGCGACAAAGATATAGTTTCTCAGAGGAATGTTAAGAAACCCTTTGAGGCGACAGAGATGTAGTTTCTCAGAGGAATGTTAAGAAACCCTTTGAGGCGACAGAGATGTAGTTTCGCAGAGGAATGTTAAGAAACCATTGGAGGCGACAGAGATGTAGTTTCTCAGAGGAATGTTAAGAAACCCCTTGAGGCGACAGAGATGTAGTTTCTCAGAGGAATGTTAAGAAACCCTTTGAGGCGACAGAGATGTAGTTTTTCAGAGGAATGTTAAGAAATCCTTTGAGGCGACAGAGATGTAGTTTCTTAGAGGAATGTTAAAAAACCCTTTGAGGCGACAGAGATGTAGTTTCTTAAAGGAATGTTAAGAAACCCTTGGAGGCGACAGAGATGTAGATTCTCAGAGGAATGTTAAGAAACCATTGGAGGCGACAGAGATGTAGATTCTCAGAGGAATGTTAAGAAACCGTTGCACTGCAAGAGTCACTAACGAGGATCGCTTAGAAGAAGTTAATGAAAGCGGATAGATATATACAGCTATAAGGAAAATACAACCACTGTTCTTTGGTGATGTGATGGGGTGATATAGAGAATATTGTGACGACTGGGAAGATCCGCGGTAGAAGAGGGAGAGGCAGACCGAGAGAGTTGACGACGGATGAAATGAGACATTGGTATAGAGGGATATCATCGGTGGAACTGATTATGAGGACAAGGGGCCAAGATCTGTGAAGAAGCATGAGTGCCCATCCAGGTCAACAGAGCAACAGGGCAAATGATGATGATGATGGGGATTGCCTATTTGATTAACATCTCAAGGAAGAGAATCAAACAGGCAAGAATATAGGAAACCCCAATGAACTGTTTGCTGTATAGCATATTTTGCAATCAGCAGCACATATTGAGAGCACAACAAAATGGTTTCGAAGTAACCTGTAGTCCAGTGTTGGTGGCACTGATTAGTTGCAGTATAAATTACAGATATAGAACAGCTTTAATTGCATTTAGAAATTATGGAGTGAAGGAATTATGATCTCACCTTTGCAACGTATTGATAGCTATCCTCTGTATCAATTCCCTTGTTTTTGATTATGTAAGCAAAAGCGTCATCCATGAATCCACCTTCGCTGCACCCAGCTTTGCCTGGAGGTGATAATCGGACAAAATGTACAATATCGAAGTGTGGATGTGTTAGTGTTCACTACGTTTTCTTTCGGATACTTTTGTTCTTTCAATGTTGAATGTTGTTAAATGTTGAATGTTGAATTAGAAATCGAAATCATAGCACTAAAAATAACTAAAAATGGCATTCTACAAGTGAATGACTTGCAATGAATAATAAGAGAGAAAGATGGAACAAAACTATGACTAGAATAAAGTGTCATCTAGTAAGAAGGCAGCCAGACCAATAGGAATAAACTCACAGGGAGCAAGTACAGCAGGGATCTACCAGTCATCAGTAGAAGTTATCCTCGTCGACAAACGTTTCGGCCCACGATTCCTAGACACTTTCGGAGGTGGGCCCACCTGAGTTCATGAAGCTCAGGGCTGGTACCCTGCTGCACGAAATTACCGGATGGTGTTTTTCTTTCGGATAGGGACAAGACGACTTGGTGGTTTGCAGAAGGTACTGTGAGATAAGAAGTCGTCGCGGCAGCCTAATTAAAGCAGTCAGCATACCTGGACGAGCGACAAGCTTACGATTGGTTTACCGGACACATGTTGGACTTTTATTAGCAGGTGGCAGAGGATCACTGGCAGACAATTCGGACACGGTGGACTTTCAAGGGGTGATAAACTCTTTTCCGCTAGACACCCGGACCAGCTCACCGAGGCCCGTCCCCTACGTTGTTGCGTTGCGTCCAAAGCCAGCTCGAGGCCTTTTAGGCTACCTCGCCCAGTTTTTTGAGTGTTCGTTTCCGTTCATTACCGCGCAATCCTAATTCTTTAACCACATTGTAGAGCGAAGTGGAAACGAGGCCTCTCGCTCCCACTTCGACGGCAAAGACCCGTACTGTGTACGCCTCCTTTTTCCTCAGACCGGCTGCTAAGTCACAATATTTCTCGAGCTTATATGTGTGACTCGTCCATACGCGACTCATACGGGACGGTCAACTCAATCAGGATGAGCTGCCGTTTCTGCGCAGAGTGGAGAACTATGTCAGGTCGCAGGCCGGTCTTACGGATTAACTCGGGGTACCAAATTTATAGGAGACCTACTACAGCATAAAATCTGGCAGCTATTTGGCAGAAAGATAGAAATAGCATGAGGTTAAAACACAAGACAAGTATAGAAAGACCACGACTTGGGCGACAACTATTTGATGACAAAAGAAGAACAAAGTAAAATAATAAATAATGTTTTAAGTTCGTATCTAATTGTTTAAAAAAAAAATAATATTTACTTCTGCAATCCATGAGATTTTCTTCTGACAGGCTGACCAGCTGTTTGGTGGCTATGGCATGAGCACCTTCCACAGCTCCAGTTGCCGAGAAGGCCCAGCATGACATGCAGTCAAGCTGATCTTTGACCTTTGTGACCACGTTCTTTTCACGCCAGTCGACTGCAGCAGGAAGGCTGTCTTTGTAGAGTCCAGACGTGTAGTTGCCAGGATTCAGCTTTCTGTTGATCTTCAAGCCTTTTATCATCCTGTTTACTTCCTCACTTGTCTGAGGAAACAGACAAACATGTGTACAGGTAATACTAATCAAGGTAAAGATAAGGGTTTAAAGTGGAGCCGAGGCGCTAATACTTGGGGTCTCAGGCCTTGTGAAGTAAAAGATCCTTACCCACCCCATTAGTCCTATTTGGCAGGTAGTGTTAGACCTAATTTCACATAAACCAATCGATACTCGGTGGGTTTTGTCGTTGACATCACTCTAGCCGCCTTTACTTTCTAGAACTTTTCCTGGAACCCATTTAAGGCGGAGTCTACGTGTAAGCCAAGGTCATCTTTAAAAAAAAAAAAGGCTGGCTCTAGGTTGTTTTGAGTCCACGACTTTCTTGCCTCTACACCCCTGCGGCGCCTGCCTTGTCAAGAAAAGGCTGGCTCTAGGTTGTTTAAGTCCACGACTTTCTTGCCTCTATACCCCTGCGGCGCCTGCCTTGTCAAGACGCAGCCGCTTTATTCTGTCCACTCCGCCACACTTATAACAGGACAGCGGAACCCACATTAAGATGAATTATTGATCAGAAGTGCCACCAGCGCTAAACTTGGACATTATTAAACACCCACTTTGGCAAAACCAAACACTTGTCAGATAGGATGCCTGAGGTCAGAAAATGTAGACATTTTTGTTTCTAGACCTCTTTGTCACGTGACCTCTTCAGTATTCCGAAACCTTGAGGTTCACTGATGCATATATTACTATCTCCATTCATTTCTGTAACAGGCTCTTTTTTGTCCAATTGATGACTTAGTGTATACATGTCTGCTTGTATATTGTCTCTCCATCGCCTTTGACTGACTGACTGACTTTCTACCCACCAGGACATCACACAAGCGATAAACACCCGATGAAACAAAGTGCCACCTTGTGGATGGGGATCGCCGTGGAGTGGTCCCAGAAACCGCGTTCAGACAAATGGCCATACTTATGGCCTGCCTATATTGCGGCCCCAGGCAAAAGTCAAGGTGGGGCTTCAAATAACAAAAAATGTCATCCTAAAAAGGACGAAACCGGATAGTTGTTGATATCTCCATCGCCTTTTTGGTCGGCCTAGTCTGCCTGGTATGCGTCCATTCTACTGCTTGTGTACACAGTTTTAGCATATCCCTGTCATCTGCCATTATCTCTATGTGCTCAAACTATTTCCGCCCATTAGCATCATGATGCCAGTGATCAGAAGTGATTTAAACTGACCATGAATTTCATGGGGACTTCTCATTCTTTAATTCTTTATTCTCTACTGTTTGTTTACGGACGTTTAATCAGAAAGCTGCTGAGACCATTAGTATAGGAACACTTCGCTGGCTGCTGAAGATGGGGACGGAGCGCTTATGGGAATGTCCCGAGTGCTGTGATGTCGGTTCTTGAATCAAATCAAATCAAATCTCTACTGTTTGAATCTCTGACTGACCTATAGATCCGCCGTGAACTTCTTCATCAAGTGACATGCCTAACTGAAAAACGTGCAGCTACCTTGTGGTGGTAATGGGTGACACTTTAACATTTTCGGTTCCACTTACTGTACATTATTTTTTCATCTCTGCTCAATAGATTCTCATTCTTCTAAAACCCACCGCTTCTTTAAGCAGTATTTTTACCATTTAGTTATTTTTCATAAAGCAGGTCCTTTGCAGAACGTCGCTCTCATCACAGTCTGCCTAAAAGAAACTCGGTCTCTCGTCAGCTCTCCCGCCTCTTGTACTTTAATACTCAAGGAGTCACTTATACCCTGTGCCCATCTTCGTGTTGGTCGGCCCCTGTCCCTCCTTCCTGGTACCATGCTTTCTGCTATTATTTTGTTCAGTCCGCCATGGCGCTTGATATTACCAAAATATTTAAGCTTCTGGGACAAGATACTGTTTATTAGCCAATCTTCCTTAAAGTTCAGATGTTTTAAGATGTCAGTATTTCTCCTCTTCTTTGTCCATGATATTCTGATAATCTTTCCAAATCATTTCAGCTCAAAAAGCCACATTTTCTTTCTTAATGAATGGGAGATAGTCAACGACTCGCATCTGTATGGTGCCCCCAGAAGATGCAAGCTCTAACAATTTTAAGTTTGGTTTTCTTGCTGGTGCTTAACCATAGACTTCTAATGCTGTTTAAACTTTGGATTGCTTTGGCCACCTTCATTTTACTTTTTGTCAAACAGAACTCATTGCTGTTTATTGTTAAGCACATCCTTTCAAAGTTTGTGTCATTTCCATTTTTTTTATCATTTATTGGTATATTTCTGTGGCAGCCAGTTTTGTCTGTGGACATTATTTTTTTGTTAAATTCATTGCCCATACCTTAGAGAAAAGAAAGAACCATTCTTGTTTTTGAATTTTTATTTTATGATATTACTGTTTTTAATGACGTTGTAAAATCTGCAAAGAAAATGTGGATTTTGTCTTACCATCTCGGTAAATAAGCGGCGTCCGTGGCTTAGGCGTTGCGAGTTCGACTCGTAATTCCAACGTACCGCGATCGAAACCCACTGCTGGCTGTGTGGATTTTCAACATGGTATGGGGCGTCGCAGGTCGACCCAGCCTATGGATGGATACCAGGATGGCAGTCCTGGGGAAGTAAAGACGGCCGGCGTAATGCTGACCACATTACCAACTTAGTGCCGACGGTCTGTAAAAATATGGGCGCTCTTCCCATATACCCGAAACGCATAAAGGCGAGAAAAGGGATCTTTACTTACTTTACTATCTCTGTAAATGTCTTTATTGGCATTACAACAAAAGATTCAACTCACCATGTCCGTTAAATGATTCTCCCCCATGTAGTAACTGGACAGACCCTGGGCGTAAAGCTCATTGTGCAGTTCAATCTTCTGGAGATTGGTTTTCCAGATGAGGTGACGGACAGCGTCTTCTCTTTCGTCATAGCTCTTCTCATGAGTTTTCTTGTAGATCAGCCAGTTAGCGTCAAGGCTGGCTGATGCCAGAGCTAGAGCCAGCGCGAAGACCGCAAGTCTGAACATCTGATAACAGATAAAAGACGTTTAATCAGAGTAGGTAAAATCATTTTTAAAAATAGCATAATTTTAACTGCTTTATCAGAATCCTATATAGTATTTACTGACATAAACTAATACATGTGAAATTACAGTGAGTGCACAAAAAACCCCCGGGAATTTAAGGCTACAAGTGCATGAAGATGTGCTGGTCGGGCCGAAAAACGCAAACATCTTAGTTGTGCTGTAAACGGGTACAACGCAACTGGATCTTTGAATATATGCAGCAGCTGCAAAAGTCAATGAAGAAGATAAAGAAAAAAAAGAAGAAGAAGAAGGAGAAGAAGATGAAAAAATAAGAAGAAGAAGATGAGGAAGAAGGAGAAGAAAAAAAAGAGAAGGAAAAGAAGCAGAAGAAGAAAAAAGAAAAAAAAAAAGAAAGAAAGAAAGAAAGAAAGAAAGAAAGAAAGAAAGAAAGAAAGAAAGAAAGAAAGAAAGAAAGAAAGAAAGAAAGAAAGAAAGAAAGAAAGAAAGAAAGAGAGAAAAAAAGAAAGAAAGAAAGAAAGAAAGAAAGAAAGAAAGAAAGAAAGAAAGAAAGAAAGAAAGAAAAAGAAAGAAAGAAAGAAAGAAAGAAAGAAAGAAAGAAAGAAAGAAAGAAAGAAGAAAGACAGAGGACAGAACCGAAACATAAACAGACGTGACAAAGATAGCTAGTTTTTCAGCGGTTACTGGAAAGAAAGGTATTATTGCCTTGAGGACTCGGACTGTAAAGGTACCCGCCTGAGAGTGGTCTCCGTCGACAACTGTTGCCTTTTATAATAAAGTTTTTATGAATCACATGATGCTATTACTTTCCCGTGACTACCAATTTTCAAACCACACCCTTTAGTTAACTAGTATCCCGTTTTAATTGTGTGTGTGTGTGTGTGCGCGCGTGCGTGCGTGCGTGCGTGTGTCTGTGTTTGTGTGTGTGTGCGTGCGTGTGTGTGTGTGTGTGTGTGTGTGTGTGTGTGTTTGTTGAGGAATGTGAGACTTTGTGTCAGTGTGTTTGTGGTGTTTATGCATAATTTATTGCGGCTACTAATGCAAATTTTATACTTCAGACCTAATTTAATTCCTTTCTTTCGTGGTGTGCGCATTTCTTGTATAGTATACGTAACTGATTGGGTTTAAGATGCCACATAGGCATGGTTTCCCTAAATGTATTATTTATCATTAAGTGTAGTATTGTATCTTTACCGTGGATCCAGGGTCGACCTACGTAAGAAAATTACAAAGGAAAACGATGCCTCTTTAAAATACAACTTTTCAGGCAATAAATAAGAGATGACTTCTACGGTAACCGTAAGGCCAACCTGAGTCATCACAAGACGTCCTGGCGAACATGGCGCTAGTGAAGTTGGGTCGTGCCTGGCAGGCTGGCAACTGATTTATTATGGCTAGACAAATTGCTGTGAGATACGAATGGACTTATCAAAGAATGTTTGGCCTCTCAAAGTAAAATACCAGAGAAACTCAACAGTAGTGCAAGGCTAATGGTTGAGGCAGCCATAATTCTAGAATAGTACAAGGCTCATGGTTGTAAAGGTAACTCTTTTCACGCCTTTAGGTGCATCGGGTATATGGGAAGAGCGCCCATATTTTTTCAGACCATCGGCACTAGGTGGGTAATGTGGTCAGCATTACGCCGGCGGTCTCTACATCTCCAAGACAGCCATCCTAGTACCCGTTCAAGGCTGGGTTGACCTGCGACGCCCTATACCACGATAAAAATCCACGCAGCCAGCAGTGGGATTTGAGAGGGCAACCAACAAGGTAACAATGTGGATTGAGAAGTGGGGATTTCCTATTAACCCAATCAAGATCACCCAATAATTTTTAACTGGAAAAGGGTATGGACGTACGAAGACTTTGACACCCGCATTGAAATAGACTGTCAAAGAATTCAGAGAAAGACACAACCGACATTTCTGGGAATGTTGCTCGACTCCCAAATGAGCTGGAGTCGACACATCGAGCAAACTGTCGCAAGATGTAAGAGCAATAACAACCTACTAAGAATAATCAAAAGTTCCGGCTGGGGTGCACACACAAAGACACTATTGCATTTTTACAAGGCATTCATCAGAAGCAAAACTGAATACGGTTCGATCGTATATGATGCTGCTTCTGATGCCCAAAAAAAAAGAGACTTTAAACACAATTCAGAACCAGGCGATGACAATCATCCTGGGGGCAGGAAAGGAACTAGTCAAGAAGCCATGGAAGCAGCCTTGGGTGTCATACCACTGAAACTACGCAGAAAACAACTTAGACAAGCTACTGGTCCCAAGCGGCTTTTGATCCACACCACCCCGCCATCCAAGCACTTGCTGTCAACGAATACTCCTGGTCAAAGGTCAGCATCCCAATACAAACATTCCAGAGACCGGCCGCCTGAAAAACCGCATCCAAAATTGACACCACCACCACCAGCGGTAAGAAATACCACCCGACCATCCCCGCCTGGGAGCTTAAAACACCATACACCGACGAAAGCCTTGCCCACGTGATAGACAGAAAACAGGACACACTCGATGCAAGGTCGAAAGTCGACCAGTACATCCGTGATGCAGAAATAGACACAATGATCATATACACAGACGGCTCAAAAACCAGCAAGGGAGGAGTCGGTTCAGGAGTTTACATACCGGCCTGAAAGTCAACACACGAATACAGACTCACTAACGATATGGCAGTCTGCTCAGCTGAGCTGGTAGGGATTCTTAAAGCACTGGAGCTAGCCTGCGAACGGCCCTCCATAAAACTCTTCGTCCTTTCCGACTCACTATCAGCAGTATAAGACCTGAAAGACTTTACGAAAGTGAGCCGGCAAGACATCAAAGAAGAAATTCTGACAACTTCCACCAGACTAAGAAGCCTGGGATGCCAAACCACCATTGGTTGGATCCCAACACACATAGGCATTGAAGGCAATGAAGCAGCAGACAGAGCGGCAAAAGGGGGCACCTTTAGCCACAACACAGTATTTGCGGGACTGGGCAAAACTGAACTGAAAGCAATAATCAAAAGTAAAATATGCAGAGAATGGTCCCAGCAGTGGTCGACCAGCGACAAAGGCAGAGCTGCCTACAAACTACTCAACAAACCCAGTCCCAAGAATCAAGTGACTTAACCGACCAAAATTCCGGCCATTCGAAAACTGAAAGATGCGACTAGGGTGCAGGCCAGACCAGTTCCGTACCCCTGTGTGTGAGGAATGCAGGGACCCTAACTCCATGGAGCACTTCTTACTAACCTGTAAACACCACGAAATAGAGAGACAAGAGCTCGTGCTGCACTTCAGAGCCACAAAGCAACCAATGACAATTGAAAACTGCCTCGGTGTAAGCTGCGACGACAAGGTCCAGCGACTTGTGAAGCAGTTTATATCCAGAACCGGGAATGCGATCTGAGAGCCACCCCTCATCATGATGTGACTGACCAGATCCAGCGAGTACCAGCACCCTCAACAGAGCCAACTATCCCTCTCACTCACTCTTCCGACCTCACTGTATGTCCTCTAAAAAGCATCCCTGCTATTCAACCTATACTATCTCCACTCCTTTTCTACCACAGGCGAATTACTCAGACTAAAACAAAAAAACTAACATAAATTTCTCTTAGTGTATTTTCAGAAAAATAAAAATAAAACGACGGAACCCACCAAAGGCAACCTGACGCTCCAAGGCAAACCAACTAAAAGGGCATAGCACAAGAAGGGGACCAGCACTCGTGGATTCCAGACTATTATGCATTTTCATTTCTTTACCTCCCTTCCCACGTATGCTTAAAATGTACATCAGTCTATTTTCAGTTACAAACCGACGGAACCCACCAAAGGCCACCCGACACTCTGAGGCAAACCAGCCAAAAGAGCATAGCACAATAAATGGACCAGCATTCGTGGATTCCAGTCTATTACGCTTCTCTTTTAACCTCCCCCGTCCCTCCCCACATATATTTAAAATTTAAATAAGTATATTTCCAGATAAACACGAGCTATCAACCCAGGAACAAAACGCTTGAAGAGCAGGCATTGCGCAGAGCCTCATCACACCAGAAGCTCAACGCACCAGGGACCTCTTTCTCAACCTAGCAAGTTGTCTCTCTCTATCTTCCGACCGAACTATAAAATATCTTGGCACCTTCAGGCGTTATAATTTTTTTGCAAATCTTTGTTACCTCCTCTAAACGGCTGCGCACAACAAGTAGATTGTGACAGTCGTCTTGATTGGGGCCTTGTTTTAGGAAGCTCAATGTGCGGAACTGTTTGTTTCGCGGTGGTGTAACTGAGGACTGACTTGGTACTCGCACAGATAAACAGTGCAACAGCTAGCGGACAGCCAACTAAAACAGGAACCAGGACCCATGAAAACCAGAACTTAGGCAACAAAGAACAAACTCAGTTGTAAATGCTCACCACAAAGGAAGATAATTAAAATGTTAGCAAAGAAACGTCCTTGATAAAGCAGGCCTTCAGGCGGCTAAAAAGGAGACTAAGCTTGGAATTGTTGTTTGATTCTATACGATACTATACAGTGGGTTTCGATCGCGGCCTCGTTGGAATTACGAGTCAGACACGCAACGCCCAAGGCTCATGACTGAGGCGCCCATAACTCCACAATCGTTCAAGGCTGATGATCGAGGCAGCCATAACTTTTCAATAGTACAATGCTCCCGATGGAGGCGGCCATAACTTTTCAATGGAGGCAGCCATACCTCTACAATAGTACATTGCTCATGATCAGGGGCAGACATAACTCTACAATAGTTCATTGCTCATGGTCGAGGTGGCCATAACTCTACAATAGTACATTGCTCAATCGAGGCAAGCCATAATTCGACAAGGTTACAATGCAGGTGACCATAACTCTACAAATAGCATGCTCATGGTCGAGGTGGTCATAACTCTACAATAGTACATTGCGCATGATCGGTGGCAGCATAACTACAATTTCACATTGCTCATGATCCCGACATTAAGA